ACACTCAGGCAGGCAGTTGCCAACTCTACTTTATCTTCCAATTCTTGCCTTCACGTAGTGTAAAGGTTAGCCAGAAGTAAGAGCTTAAGGCCTTCTGAGGTCATTCCTGAGCAATAGCTCCGAGATACACACGTTATATGCATGCATGGCTGTCCAGATTCCAGGGAATATGCTGGAATTTTTCAAAGCTCCCTGTGAACATTTCCTTCTCCAGCTTTTCCATTTAAGTTTTTGGGTCACCTTCTTATTTTCCCCAAGGGTCATTGTCACCTCAGGCAGCTGTAATATCGAACATTTGTCAAGGATTATTTTTGACAAATTCCCCATGGAAAAAGGCTGTTTACATGGAGTAAACTCTGAGTCAGGTCAAATAAAAGCAAGCCCTGTGAGAGGGAGTTTCTACTGAACTTCTAGACAGGGCAACAGTTCTCTTAGAATGGGGGTTGTGGAGAGTTCCAAAGCTGTTGGCTGATAGACTGCTGGTTTTCATTTTGACTGTAAAACTGTTGTTTTTCAAGGCTGCTGCAGAGCTGGGGGGAAGGGAATTGGAATAGGGCAAGTTAAAACAAAACAGAGCCTACTGTTCTTATGGATATTCTGCCATTTTTCTTGAATAAATGCCCTAGGATGGTTGCAAGCCTGTGGTTAATTTTCAGAATTCTGAAAAAGTTGATTTTGACAGTTTTTTTTTTTTTTTAACCAGTGTTCTTGTTGCTATTGAGGAGCAGCTTTTCAGATGTCCTTCTCTACCATTCCTGCTGATATCACCATTCCTTGGTTTTTTATTCAACAAGTTATTTTGGAAAATGCTGTACATATTTTCTCCCTGCCCCATCTATCTCTCTTATTTATTTTAGTGGCTGAGGTGTATTCCAATGCACAGATGGTCAACTGCTTTTCAATTGGCACTTGCCAGGCACCTAAACTGTAAATGAGGCCTTTGTACTAGAGATTGTGGGGCTATCTGCAACACAACCACCCTACAGGAGCTTCTGGATGGGTGGGAAAGACAAAGAACACACAGGAGAATTAACTTGTCATGGCATCATTCTGAATGCTTTCAGTGTTTGGACAATGTTAAATGGTCTCACCTTGATTCTGAGTTCCAGGCCCTTCAAGACGCACTTCTTAAGTGGTTGGAAAGACAAGGTGGCATGTACACTCTGCCCCACATCCACAGTGCTGTCAGTGGGTGAAAATTCCAAGTACTGCAGCAGAGTTTTGGAACCAGATAGCTCAGCCTGGAAGCTGAAGTTGAACTTTCCAGTGTTGACAAAGCTGAATTCACACTGGACACATTCATTTAGCACCACCTGGGAGATAGAGAACAGAGTAGTGAATACAAACCATCGTTCCCTTCTCTGGGGGGTCAGGATATGTAACATGTGAGCTGAAGTTGAACTTTCCAGTGTTGACAAAGCTGAATTCACACTGGACACATTCATTTAGCTCCACCTGGGAGATAGAGAACAGAGTAGTGAATACAAACCATCGTTCCCTTCTCTGGGGGGTCAGGATATGTAACATGTTGGGGGAAAATGTCCTTTGGGAAATAGGGATGGCTGATGATGTTGGTAAGTTGAGTATCATTAGCTTCATGTAGCCACATATTCCAGCAAGAGCTGGTAAGTGTTGGGGATCACCTCATATCTCAAGAGTAAGATGGCAATTTAATTCTTGACCTTCCTTGGTAGTCAAACATCCTTTCTGTATGTTTAATACAAACATTCTTGCCCCTCTCCACCATCTCTCACCCCCTGAAAAGTAAAATAAAAGAAGCATTTGCATCATAACTGTACATTCTGGGGACAGAGCTGTTCCTAGCATATTTCTGTTCTGGTTTCTCTGGCATTTGAAGCAGAAAAACTCAGCTCATGTTCACTTGTCCCACCTTCTCCAGTCAGCGTGGAAACCGAGAGAGACAGCAAGGCCCACTCACACCTTTACCTCATAGAAGCTGATGATGTTGGTCTGGTTGGGAGTCAAGACAGTGATGCAGCCAGTGCTGTCCTTGCACTTGACCTGTGCATTCATACTGTAGCCCTCGGCCTTGACATTTAATGTCAGAGGGTGGACTTTCTTTTTCACATTGCAGATCAAATTAAAGTTTACATCTCCTTCCTGCTTTGGTGTGAAGAAAATATCAATTGGGAACCTGGTTGGGGAAGCAAGACAACAGATTAGCAGACTAGGCTAATCTGTTAAAACCTGTTTAAAAAAATATGAGCCCACTGGATTAGCAGATACACTATGAGGAAAAGGCACTATAATTCTAAATTATAATGAATTTTTAAGATTTGCCAGGTAAGGCTGGACATTGCTCTGGGATTCACACATATAGCAAATAGCAAGGAAAAGAATACAGACATTAGAGAAAATATTGAAAACAAGGGCTTAGAATTCTTACTGCTCCATAATTCATCAAGAAAATGAACATCAGGGAGTCATTAGAACAGAAATGAAAAATTTTAGAGTTGGAAGAGATTTCACAAATAGGGCACTCTAAGGGATCTGAGTTATCTGGGGACCCTGCCATGTTGGAAGGAGGCATTTTTTGTTACCTGGACAGCGGTGGGACCCAGCCTTCCATGGGACATACAACCAGGCTGTTGCTGAAACCTTCAGAATATCGGGAGTTGTCCTGGAAGGCAAAATTGAAGCCCTGCTCCTCCTTGTTGATGATCTGCACAGTCTCCCTGGCTTCTCTGCCTGCGGAGGAAATGCCACCCCTCAGCGGAGGCCTCCTGCCTGCTTGCCGAAGCATCTCTGCAGACACCGCTCTGCAGGCAGGAGGACGTCTTCCCCAACATCTTTCCCTCCCCTTCCAAACTCCTTCATCCTTCCTTTTGCTCTACAAGTGACCTTCCTCTCTTGGTGGGGTGGGGGGAGGGTTCAACGTCCTCCTTCTAGAACTTATTTCATCAATTGTGGGCTCCTGCTAGGGGGCTCCTCTGCCCTGGTCACAGCTCTCCTGGGATGCTGGTGACATTGTTTCCTTCCCTTGCTCCTTCAGATCCTAAAGCCTTCCTGAATTTGTTAATGGGGCTTCCCCCTTCCTGGTTAGCCCCTTAACTACCCACATCTCTAAATAATCCCTGCAGTGAATTCTTTTGAATTAGACCTTGGATATGCCATGAGTTTCCTGCCAGGGCCCTGACTAATACATCTCCTCTCACTATTTTGTTTTTCCCTTTACTATTATAGAACACTTATTTTCCCACATAAACTTTAGGGTCATTTTATCTAATTCTCTTCCCTCTCAATCCTTTTTGGATTAGCGTTGCCAGATATAGCAAATAAAAGTAAGTCCTAAATATTGCATGGAACATACTCATACTGACATACTTAAGTACCAAAAAATTATTCATTGCTATCTGAAGTTAAAATTTAAAATTTAAAATAAAAAAAAAAATTGAACTGTGCATCCTGTTGCTTCATCTGGCAACCTTGGTTGGGATTTTAATTGTAGCTTCATCAAATTTGCATTTAATTTTGGGAGAACTGACAAGTGTTCAGATCTTGTATGGGGGTATTTTAATAAGATAGTTTTCTTCATATAGGGCCTGTGCTTTTCTTGTTACATTTATCCTTAGATACTATATAAGTTTTGTCAGTATTAAATACAATTTTTTTTTGTTTCTGTTTCTAGGTGCTTATTGCTAAAGATAAGAAACTATTGATTTTTGTATATTTGTCTTGCAGCCACCCACCTTACCAATTATTTTGTTGATTCTAGTAGTTTGTTTTGCTTTTCTTCAGAGCCTCTAGAGGTTTTATGTGTAAAAAGTCATCAGCAACAACAAAATGCGATCATTTTGTCTCTTTCTTTCCAACTTTTATGGCAGTTATTTAATTTTCTTATTTTACCATACTTGCTAATTTCTCTAAGAAAGTGATCAATAGTAATGGTGATAAAGGGCATCCTTACCTAACTCCTCATTTTAATTGAAGTAGTTTTAGTGGTTTATTATATTTGCCTCATTTATTCCTAATTTGCTATTAAAACTCTTTTTGGGAATGTCTGCTGAATTTAGCAATGCCTTTTCAGTATATACTAATATGATCACGTGGCTATTCTTCCTTCATCTATTGATGTGATCACTATATTGAAATGCACACTCTTGCATTCCTGGGTTAAACTCTCTTTGTCTTGCTGTTATTATTCTTAGGCTACATTGCTCGTTTATTCCTTCAAAACCTTAATAAATGCCACAATCCCCATACCTACTTATGTGTATCAGTATAAGAAATACATGAAAATAATATACATCCAACGTTAACATTGGTTTCCTTCGATGGAAAGGGAAGGATGGAACAGGATGGATGGGGAGAGATAAAACTTTTCTTATTCAACACATCATTGATTGACCTACTATGAAGAACATTATTTTATAAATAAAACATATAATGAACTATTAAAAAAATCCTCTGACTTTAAAGAGTTGGAACCAGCTCAAACGTCCATCATCAGATGAGTGGATAAGGAAACTGTGGTATACCTACACAACGGAGTACTACTCTGCTATAAAAAAGAATGAAATAAATACTACCATTTGCAACAACATGGATGGACTTAGAGAAAATCATATTAAGTGAAACAAGTCATGCACAGAAAGAGAGATACCACATGTTCTCACTTATTTATGGGAGCTAAAAATAAATAAATTAAAAAAAATCCTCTGGCTTTAGCTGTATTACACACACACACACACACACACATCACATCTGTGTGAAAGATTCATGGGGTTATAAGGGACCTGACAATCACTTTCTTTATTTCC